GGGGTTTCACCATGTTGACCAGGATGGTCTTGATCTCTTGACCTCGTGATCCACCCGCCTCGGCCTCCCAAAGTGCTGGGATTACAGGCGTGAGCCACCGCGCCCGGCCTGTCCCCAAATTCTAAGGTTTGCTGACTGCTAAAGCTAAATTCTCTTTTATTTGTCCAACAAAATCTTGAAATGGTAATTAAGCTGGCAGGGGCCGGCTTATGACTGCTGTAATTTTGAACCAATTGTCTTGGATATTTGTAACAACTGTATTGTGATATGAAAATATGTGATTTTTCTTGGTGACAGAGCCATAGGTACTTCTCTTTCGCCTGTGGTTTGTTACCTATATTCATAAGTGAAAGATATGTTAGATTTCAGTTAGAATAGACTGGAATCGGAAATAATCAGAATGCAGTGTGTGTGGTACCAGTAAGGAATAGTTCATGCAACTTTTGTTTCTGTTACATATGTATGACATATAGGTGTTTCTGTTACCTGTGTATGACTTATGGGTGACAAACCGTGTCTGTTTACCTGAGCAGCCCCAGGGCTCAGCAGAGGAGGGGATCAAAGGAGCACACTAATGGAGAAAAGACGGAGCCTGTGCATTTTTTTTGCTTTTCAGGAGTTTAACCTTTAACAACTTGTAACCATTGATACTCAACTTTTACTCCTATTCCAGATGAAATGCTTTGTGCGCTGTGGCTCCCTTTCTAAAAGGCCCAACTATTTACTCAACAGCTCCCCGGTTACGAGGCCTATGGTCGGCTCAGGAGTCCTTCAGTTGTTCGGTGATACCAGCCTGTGACTTGACCTTACCTTCCTCCCTCTAACTGCAGTAACCTCTCCCTCCTTGTCTGTAGTTTCGCTTTCCGCCGTCTCAGTTACCCCCTTCAACCGCGGTCCAAAAATATTAAATGAAAATTCAAGTAATTAAAAAATTGATGTTTCAAATAACTCCCCTTTCTCAGTAGCGTCATGAAATCTCCCACCTGCCCGAGGATAGAGAAAACCGTTTGATTTAGCAGTGCTTGGTTTCACCTGGCTTGATTTTCAATGTTTAGTTTCTTCGAAATAAGGAAAAAGAAATTAAAGACGTTTGTAAAGAAGCGTCCTCACTCTCCTTTTCTTGTCAGATTTCCAGGTAGTTATTAATAGTTCTATCCCTGGGTCAGTAGGTTAAGTATTCGACAAGTGTGTCTGATGGCTGGAAGATTTTCCACACTTTGAAAACTGATGGATGCTGGCCCATTAACCATTTGATGTTTAATATTTAATGTATTAACGAGACGCACACATTATGAAATTATTTTAACT